TTTTTTTTTTTTTTTTTTTTTTTTTTTTTTTGCCAAAAATTGTCAATTTGTGTGCCAAATCCCGGAGAGTGTAGGTGTCGATTTGGTAACAGGATGATCCGGCAGTGCCTCCTTGGGGGCGCTTAAAAAAAAAAAAAAAATGACAAAGGAGCACATATGTAGGGGATGCCAACCCGTCACAACCATTTTGTGCAATATATGACGCATCCATGGACAGTTGGGAGTTTTCTCCCCAATAGGGGGAAAGAGGTGCCCCGTTGGTGCCTCTGTCATTTGTGCTGTGGCGACTGGTTAAGTAGAAGCAGCAGCTCCAGGAAAATAAACACCCCAGATGGATATCCTTCCCCCCGTTAAGCAGATTTCTCATAGCCCATTTATGTGTTAAAGAGTGGTAAGTGGTTTTTCCTTAAAAGGTTAGAGAGGGGGCAAGGGGCAAGCACAAGTGCGAGCTGCAGGGCGCGAAGTGGATGCAAAAGTGTATACAGCAAAAATGAGAATGAAAATAAATAGATGTGTAGCTAGCTGGTGAATTATCGGACAACCTTGAGGTGCCCCACCCCCGCCAACTGTCCCACACTCAACGGAAACAAAACTGTGCAGCCAGGACGCGCAGAGTTAGGGAAGACACAATTGGACCAGGCAGACGTAGCGCTACTTCGACATGGCCGTCTTCTCTCTGCGCGATAGAACCATGTAGAGGTGACTGCTGGACAAGAGCCCCCATATTCATGGTGGTCAAAAAAAAAAAAACTAAAAAAATTCCGCTGCAGAGGCCTAAAAGAGAAGCTTCCCCTGCATACTCAAACGCTCCAGGATGCTGTCCCCATACTCCTGATAATCCGCTCGTGTTATTTGATAATTGTGATAATCGAACAGCTCCAAAAAGTAGTGAGCCCCTGAGTAAGTGGCATATTTTTGCAGCATCCTTCTCCGCAGAGAATGCACATTAATACAAACGTTGCTGTAAAAGTTATTCCTTTTTACAAAATCATACAATTCATTTTGTAATCTTTCACGAAAGCCCCTAATGATACTGGACCCCCCTGTCAGGTAAATATTTTCAAAGAGTTCCTTTCGAGTATCAATAGGGCACTTTTGAATGGTGTCGTAAATTACACATGGGAGGGTACTCTGTGTGAGGGCGGCGCTCAGGTTGGCTTTCCAGCTAGGGCAAGACTCCTTTATACTGGCATTCGGGATCCAAGTACTGGGAGACCCGCTCAAATGGAATCCCTCGTTTACGTCGTAAGTGTGCAGCTGCTTGTACGATTCTGTTTTTAAATAATTTCCCAAATGACATGGAGAGAAAAATATTTCAGTGGAGATTACAGCTGAAGAAGATATTTTATTAAAGTTTAACTCGAAGGAGCTAACTAAATAATTTCTCGGAGTTCGATCATAAAGTAAAGAAAGGTAACCACAGTCTTCTCTACTCTTCGGAGTAAGTACCCGTTTTTCCTTTGCAATTTTTGCAGCTTCCATAGATATGTCTTTTTGGTACATTTTATTTTTTTTCATTTCCTCAAATATTTGATTATCTATATCGTACCCCCCAATGTCGTAAGTGCTTGTCAGGTCGGGCAGTGGGATTCCGTTTATCACTGGTGTGCAGGTCGTCTTAGTACTTCCAATGTTGACTAAAATGGACGTGAAATTGAACAAGTTTAAATTGTGTAATTTGGCGACACACTCCTCTGGGTAGGGTTCCCTGCCCATTATTGTTTTCCTCACTGAGCCAAGTTCCCCTTTGTATTTTTCTCTTCCCATTATAACCGTGTCGCTGATGTAGTCATTATGTCCACAAGAGTCCTTATGATCATTTCTATACAGTAGGACTTCACGCCCGTTTTGCCTCTCCTGCTTCTCCTTCGCGAGGTTCTCCAAAATGATAAGTGAAGAGAGAAAGGAAGGCTCCCTAAAGGTCACACTCTGTACTTGAAATGTGTCAAATAAAATATCCCCTAGAGTAGAAAAATCATACGTATTGTTTGTGCTAGAAAAGGGAATAAACAAATCTTTGTCTTTTAAATTTATTTTGTAATAATTACTGAAGCAGTGAAAAAGACACTCTTCTAGGATGTCGTAATTTTTATATGGAGGATGTGCATAGCCCAGGTCCTTCCATGGCTCAATCACTTCCATTTGGGGTACACGCCAGCTTTGTAATTTGCAATCGTACTTATTTATGAGTCCAACTTTGAAGGAATAATTTCCAAGTGATAACAGGACGACATTATTTTCTATGGGCAGGTAGCTGTTAAGCTTGTGGATATCGCTACATGTGGTATTTGAAAAGCTACTGAAGCTTATTCTTTTGTGGAGTTTTTTTTTTTTTTCGCTCGACGGGGGGGAGCTGCTTAAATGGACGTATATCCCCAGTGGGTCCTTCAGCTTGAGGTACAGGCTCTCCGTTATGGGGCTGTACGTGGGAGTTTTCCGCCCCTCGCCCTGTCCCTTCATTGGGACTGCGTCAGCACAGTAGGGTGTGCCCAATCGGCCGAGGGATGGCCACTGTACACTTCCGAATGCTTTTTCAAACGTCTTACCCTATGCAACGGGAGTCGTGTTCAGTGTACACACATTGGCCGTTGCCGTTTTCCCCTATTTGGTATGTTTAGCTCGCCTTGTGCTTGTCGCGTGTCTGCACAACGGAGCAGTGTGTGACAGACTGCACAGTTATCATGGGCATATTTTTGGCGAACCAGCAACTGCTTTTCGAAGCAACATCACTTTTTAGAAACACTGTCTTTTTTTTCCGTTCCTTTTTTTACCCCCACAGTTACGCACGTATCCACTCAAATCCCACACAGCCGTTCCAGCAAGGCGCCCTCTTCCTTCATTCCAAGAGGACGCAGGAGCAGCAAAAAAAAAAATGTAGACTTACTACAACGAATCGGTGTGCATGTCCTATTTTGAAAAAGTAAATCTGCAAAGTTATATACATTTATATTTACATATATGTGTTGTTTGTTTTTTTAATTAAAAAGAGTTTTTTTTTTTTTCTATAGGGCGCAAATCAAAATTGGCCAAAGGTAACTTTCCATGTGCAAAAACAATCGCGGAACAAAAATGACAAAAAAAAAAAGAAAAGTGACGGGGAAAATGCCCGTACTTGAAAAAAAAAAATGAATCAAAAATTACATAATCCTGCAACACTGTCTCCTTTTAAGTTTCTTGCTTTGCTTAAATAACTGCTTAGTCGTAGCTGAGCAAAAAAAAAAAAAAAAAAAAAAAAAAAAAAAAAAAAAAAAAAAAAAAAAAAAAAAAAAAAAGGGAAAAACATCCGTGTGCATGGATCGAAGAAATTAAGTCGTTAAAGAACTAGCTGCGTGAGAAAGCTGTGCAAGGAGAACATATGGACATGATCATGGCCTGAAATATATAGGCCCCCTCTTTGCCCCTTGTCCAAAGGGGAGAATAACGATGTGGTGTATTTACTCGAAAGATCCTTGCTCTTGTCGACGAGGACATCCAAATTTTCCCTGTTCCTGATGAGTGCGTCCATAGTTGTTCTCACTTTTTCCTGCGCAACAGGGGAGGGAGGAAGAGGCGGAAAAGGAACAAAAAAAATAATATACAGTGTGTGCATTCTTATTGACGCCTCAAAAGGGCAAAACTTAGTCAAGATGGTGGATTCCTCCGTCCCCGTCCATATTGCACACATAACATAAAACGAAAAAGGACAACGCATATGCCTGTTGGGCCATCCGAGAAGGGGCCCAGACAGATACGCGCCTCCAATGCATCTCTTTCACGTTTACAATGTTTTCGCTGATTTTCATGTTTGTGTTAGCTATGGCATCACACGTCAGGGGGTCCTGAGAGGGGGAAGAAGATCACTGGTCCAGTGTTTATTCCTGTTCATGCATACAGGTTATACTGCTTCGTGGAAAACGAGTTAACTATGCACATGTTGGGGAGGGAACTGTTTCGTTTTTTTTCTTCTTTTTGGAAGCGTTCTCAATATGACTCACCTTATACTTGGACAGATATGAATTCAAATTAAAAGAAATTTTGTTGTCCTGATTTACTGCCGACCACACATCTTTCGGAACGGTGCGAATAAAGTCCATGTAAATTTCGTAAATCATGTAAAAGGCCACTCTGTCAGAAAAAAAAAAAAATAAAAAGGAAAAAGAAATGTCCCTCCTGTTATCCACCCCTTAACAAACTGCAACGCACAAAATGGAGGGAAAAAAAAAAAAAAAAAAAAAAAAAAAAAAAAAATTTTATAACCCGCACGCTGGAGTGACAAGCTGGGATTGGCTTTTTTTTTTTTTTTTTTTTTTTTTTTTTTTTGCCAAAAATTGTCAATTTGTGTGCCAAATCCCGGAGAGTGTAGGTGTCGATTTGGTAACAGGATGA